CACGCAAAAGCAAACAATTTCTAACTGTCTGTGTCAGGAGGTGTTGCAGAAAAAGCCTCCTTAAGATCAAGCATCATAAACTATTATAGTCCCCTTTCAGTGCTGTCAAGAGTGTATACAGACTAACTACTGCTAGATAAATATCAGGTACTTATTATTGATAGCCCTTAAACCTTGTACTAATCTATAACTGGTAATATCAGTATGTTATGTTCTAATTCACACTCTTTCAATAACCCATATTCTAAAAATTTTTCAATAAGCTTCTCCAACTTTTTACTTGCCTCCCACTTAAGAGGATATAATTTTTGCTTTACCAGTTTGACTTCAGGTTTGAAAGTAATCCTTACTGGTTTAGCCACTTTTGATCATCCAGGCGTCTCAGTCATTTATACCAGTGGGGTTAATTCTCTGCCTGCTCTGGGATTTCTTCCAGCTCTTTTTTTATTCCTGTAACATAAAAATCTTTGCTTCAACAGCTTTTGTTTCTGGTATTTTAATTTATATTTCTTCATCACCAAAAGTTATTTAAGCATCCGATTTTCCCAATAAATCTCTTTCCAGCAAGGGCATTGTTGATTCAGGCACATACACAAGGGTGTGTCTCCCACTGTTTTCTTCACTTAAATAGTAATGTTTGTAAAGGAAAAGACTATTCCCTTTCCTCCCTATCGCACCCACAATGCTTACAGGTTCCAAACTGAGTTTTTATCTACACATAATTAATACCAAGTAAGTTGCTCCTATACCCACTAAAATTAACTTTTTCTGTTCCCCAACAAAAGGGGGAGCATAACTCATCTTCATAGCTTCTTGACTGAAACATAAGGGTCCAGTAACTTCTTGGTGAGGTTTGTAAGGTTACACATTCCAAACATAGACTCCTGATATTTCTATAACTTATACTTTGCAATTTTCTAATTATGATCATAGCTAACCCTTTAATATTACTTAATCAATTATTTGATCAAAATATTCATAACAGTGTGAATGTGTGTCTGTCCACTAAGAACTTGCAGAGGTCACAGATAAAAGCCATATGGTTTGTGGAGCTAGAGGTGACAAATGGGAAATGGCTTCTGGAGAAGGGATAGAGGCATGGCTTAGTGTCAACCCATCACATACTGTGTAGATCTTTGGAGAAAGCTGTTGACAGGCACATTGTAGGGAACAAAGCTTTTGCAGTTTAGGATAGTACTTATCCCATGTCTTGACTTCATCCCGTGTCCTGGACTTCATGTCTATTGCTGTCAGAGCAGAGCCACTGGAATGGATCATGTAAACAAACTCATTTTGTGCATTATCCTGCAGGAAGATTTCCCATCAAATCTCTGCTGAGCCCATTCAGGCTGAGTGTCACCACCTTTATCTTAAAGGTGTAAGACCTCAATCTGCAAGCTGCAAAGAAGCCCATGCCTTACTTATATAAGTTTTTAATTCCAAGTTAGGTGAGTTTATCACGACCTTGAAATTCATTAATTTCCACCATGAACTTCCATTTGTGTTCTGCTTTTTATGATAGAAGTGCATTCCCAGCAGACCTTACCTGGTAGTATTTAGGATCCTTTCCAGCTTTCAGAAGGTTGCCACAGATACAATACATTTACAACAAAATGGAGACACTGGCTTTACTGTGCATGCCTTTACTTCCTCTTCCAAGCCACACAAGATTTCCCACTGGGTTAGGGTGGCATAAATGCTTAGCCAGCAGCCCACAGTGCTCCCTTTGTCCTTCCCAGCTGGAGACAGGCACCTTCTGAGGCAGCCAGCACTCAATCCAAGAGGGTTAGACAAGCTGGTGTCAACATCTGGCAGCAGCTTCAGCATCAGTCCTGTAATCACTGGAGCTCCTTGTCCCACAGAAGAGACAGAGCTCAGCAATTTTCTTTCTTTCTCAGCAATTTTCTGACAGGGCTCAGGTATTCCATAAAAAAAAGAAACGGAAGTTGAAACCCTCATGCAGTCCTGTAATCACTGGAGCTCCTTGTCCCACAGAAGAGACAGGGCTCAGCAATTTTCTTCAGGTATTCCATAAAAAAAAGAAACAGAAGTTGAAACCCTCATACTGTCAACTCGTGCCATTTTGGGATATCCCCGGTAATGGAAAAAGCCCCAAAGCCAGTTCCTGGAGGGACAAATAGCTCTGTAACTGTTGTAGTCCAAGGCTGGCTCTGTGCCTCCAGGCAATGCTGAGTCTGAGCTAACCTGCTCTCCTGGAGATGGTCAACTTTTTGCTAGGTATTAGTGCAAGGATGTATTTTGATTATTTGCTGGTGGCACACCGAGTGTGCCATCGCTCACCTCGACGCAGAGCTGCGTCCTTCATGGTCCATGAGGAGTCACCTGGGTCCTGTGGCCACCTGCTCCCCTGGGCTCCTCGCCTGGGGAACACAGCTGCCGAGCCTCTGCAGCACTCCCTAGGCACATCTAGTCCTTCTTAGATTAGGCTTGGTGTCCCACAAAAGTGTTTGTGATGTTTCCAGACCTGATCAGGCAGTGCTGTGCCCCAGGCAGACTCAGCACGGAGCCAGCTGAGCTCCCTGCACCCACAGTGCAGTTTATCCACAAGCAGAACGCTGCTGAGTGGCTGGTAACTGCAGCTGCTGCTTGGTGTCTTCCCAGGATTGTGAGGTTTGCCTTGGAAATGTTTTTGAAAGGGGGCTGGCACTGCTGCTGAGCTGCACTCTGTTCTTCCAGCATAGTGGTTGGGTGAACAGCACCTAAACACCAGGTCCCTGTGTGGGACTTGGGAACTACTATCTTTCCTAAATATTTCAACAAAAATTCCTATAACAACACTCAAAAAGACCATAAAGAAAGGCAATGGGAAGCTTTTTTTTTTACAAATCTCAAAATAAATGGATTTTGCCCCTTTGCACTCTTATCCATACACTCATCAGCATCATAGAATATTCTGAATATTGGAGGGGACCCACAAGGATCAAATCAAAGTCCCATTCCAAGATGTGTGCATCTCAGTGGCCTGGCCATGATCACTTATGTGCAAGAGAGATGGTGCAGGGTACATACTGGTTCTCAGTGTTAGGAAAATTAATCCACAAACATCAGAGGTTTATGCCCAAAAAGGAGACAGAGGAGTCCTTTTACTTTATTTGAATAGAGGAAGAGGCCATGGGGCATTCCTCTAGGGTCTCTCAAATTTTTGGAGGATGTAGCCTCCCTTTTTATCCTAATTTCCTTGCCGCATTTCCCTTCTCTCTTTCCCCATTGGCTGAGGTACTGAAGATTTTCCTCTAATGTATAACCCCCCTTTTAATTTTTAATTGATATGGAATTTAGGGGTTTTTCTTTCCCATTGCTTCTTTCATCTTTCAATGTCTAATTTCATTTATCAGCCAACCTAAAGTTCATTTGTAAAAGCAAGTATCTTTTTCCATTCATCAATCAGTGGAATCCTTCCCATTGTTTCTTTTGTCTCCCAATGCTAGTTTTATCTACCAGCAGACCCAAATCCCAATAGGATTTCTAAAGACAAATCCGCTATTCCTCTCATCAGTAAGAAAAGCCTGACAAGACATGAGTTAAAGCTGTTTTAATAAAATAGCATAGAAATAGGAGTATAGACAATAAGTAAATCTAAGACCCCTTCAGATGCTGGGCACCCTGTGTTCAGGCAGCATTGTTCAAGACCAGAGGGGAAACCCTGTTGGTTTGGCAGGGAAGGTGATGAAGCTTTTCACTCACTTTGTGAGTGAAATCTCTCATGAGTGGTATTAGTGAGCCCTTCGTCTCTGACAAAGTTGTGACAGCATGGAAAGGTCTGGCAACACACAAGGCAGAAGCACCGTGCTTTCCACTGAGCTGAGCTCCAGGTGTTTCAGGGAAGGTGTGCATGCCACAAAGAACAGCTGCGACCCTGGGAGGTGTTGTAAATGAGAAGCTTGACTAGGCCAATATTCAAGCAGCAATCAATTTATTAATTAACATGGTATAGTATGAGCAATACAGCGCTGGGTACAGCGGGGGAAGTTTTCCCTCCAACTGCACACCGATAGTTGAGGCTTACAGGTGTTTATAGGGGTAGTCATAAGCTTTCTCAGCAGTTTCTATTCCCACTTTTTACGTCACAATTCTATACACTATTGTGGTTTAGTTTTTCTCAGGATGTATCTCAGAAAGGAGTATCCCCAGATGGTGGGGTCCAGCTTCCAAAAGAAGAAAGAAGTCTCCCAGCTGGTGAGGTCCAGATTCCAGATGTGGGTCCACCTTTTAATTGCAAGGACTATAAATCTCATAACAGTGATGTTCAGCTTCCCTTGGCTGAAACTATCAATCCTTGAGTTGATGTTCATCTTCCTTTCTCAAGCTGCTTTTCACTGTTTTGTTAAGGTGTCGAGATAAGCATGTTTCCTTTTTATATATTCTAAAGCTATAGTTTCAAAGATCCTTACTACAAGACATATTCTAAAATTATACTTCAAAAGGTTATTATTGCAAAACTCTTTAAGGCTTAGCTACAAGCAGAAAGTTGCTGTCAAAGAGCAACATCCTTAAAGCTTTAATTCAAATGCTCCTAAGTCAACTTGACTTATGAAGGTTAATTGCGAACAAAGGATAGGTTCAAAGGCCTTCTTCCATGCTTTATTTCTTTAGTTATTTATTAGAATTTGTCTTAATAACTGTCCCATGGTCGGTTTCCACACATATCACAATCAGAGATACACGCGTTGCCTGTATGCACCTGACACGAAACACAGCTTTGTATTTCACAGAGGAGTGTCCTACACAAGAGAATAAATCACGCTTTGCTGCCAAGGAATCATTATCATCCATTGAAACTCAGAATCAGGCTTCAAAGGGATGCTCCAATTATTACATTTTTTAGCTGGGAGCTCCTCAGGCCCCCCGCAGCTCAGCTGAGGCGTGAGGAAAGGAGGAGAGAGCACAGCCGGGGGCAGGCATGTTCGGACACGTCACTGAGAGGCACCCACTGCGCTCCGGCCAAGTTCTCCCGCTTCCTCTTTCACCCACCTGTGCCAGCGGAGCCCGGCGCTGTGCCTTGTGTGTGCCCGCGCCTCCAGCCCCGTCTGCCGGGACACAGCGGAGCACAGCACCGCGGGAGCCCACCGGCAGAGGAGAAGCCATGTACAAGAGAAAGATGAGAGGGTAAAAGAAATTGCTGACCAAAAGAAAAAAAAAACAAAAAGCAGTCCAGCTTCAGCTGTGTGCTGTCGCTGCCGCTCGGACCCGAGGCGTCCCTCGCTCCGCAGCCCCGGGCTGGGCTCTGTCCCTGCGGGCTCGGCCAGGGCGAGGGCAGTGCTGGCGGCCGCGCACCTGAGCGGGACCTTTGTCCCCACTTAACCGCGGTGGGCGAGGGGCTGCACTGGGCTCCGAGGCTGCTGGGGAAGTTCCCAGTGGAGTGGAAGCTGTCCCGGGAGCCGTGAGGAGCAGCAGGCACGGGGGAAGGTGGGGTGTTGGGGAAGGGCCGAGGCGGGAATGGCTGGCCGCGACGCCGGGCTCTGAGGGGCTGACAGTGCCTGCTCCTCGCTCGGCTCTTTCGAGGTCTTGGGACAGCTCTTATCAGCCAAAACAAAGTGTCTGCGACCACCTTCTCTTCGAGGGAGGGGGAAGTTTTAATGTAAGTAAGGAAAGAAGGAGAGAAGTGTAAAGAGTGCGCTCGGTGAAGAAGTGCCTCGGCTGTGCAGAGCGTTAGCAAGGGACAAAAAACGTGGATTAAAGAAGCTTTGACAAACTTATGCTCGTGTATTTTTAGACATTATCATTATTACTGTTATTATCTTGCAGTGAGCGGAGTTCTAAATGGTTTCTAATAAGAAGTGTTAGAGGAAGGAAGGAAAATTAATAAATATCTATGATGATGCAGTTTATTACACAGTTTTAGTAAGAGAGATATTCGTATTAGGAGCTGTTTTTGTGAAATTAGTACATTTTAAAATAATCTCATTGCACTCCTGTTCAAGTTACGGATGGTGGGACCGTAGCAAATTTATAAATAACACATGTTAAAATGTATTTTGTAATCAGTCAGTACACCTTAAAGGTTTAATGCACGTTTATGTAGCAGCTGCATATTAATAAAAAAGAAAATAAAGCCTAGGAGAGTTACGTTGGCAGTTATCCCTCTGCCGTTTTCTGCCCTAATTCCTCTAAACATTTTGGGGTACAATCCACCTTTCATATTATTAGTCTTACTTTACAGTGTATTTCTCTGCAGCTCTCAGATTCTGAAAGGATTACAAGTTCACCTCTATGAGATTGACGAACCTGATTTAGAAAGAAAAATAATGTTTTCTTCTTTGTATCTTTAATTATTTGCCAACTATGAATTTTGTCTCATATTTGTATCAATAGCTGTTATGTGATCGATATTTTTTTTAGTTAGGCTCTATGTGAATACCATGCATAACAATGCTGAACAGGAAGGACACTTGGTGATAACTACGAACACTTTAAAAAAGAGTCGAGGTGATTGCGTGAATTTGGGCAATGTATCGGTAAACTCACAATTTACTTTAAGTATTCTCTTATCTGACTTGGGGAGAAAAATGAACGCTGCCTTTCTGTATATATTCTATAGTGTGTGAGTGTTCTGTCACGGTTTTAAAATTTATCATTTGTCCTTCTGGTAGTGTTGTTTAAATTTTCATTAATCTACTATTTAAGAATAGCAAGTAACAGCTATTCTTAAAAATAGCAAATATTACTAAGAATGCAGACTTTTGGTCATATTTTATTAAGTTGATTACACTGTAAATTTCACTCGGCTCAACACATCCCTAAGGTGTCTGTATCTTGAAGATTAGTGTATTTCAAGATTGTTCTAAAGAAATAGCTCTATGTCCCTGAACACAGGACACCCGTTGCTGTAGCTTGTCCAGAATGCAGTATTTTATGGTCAAAACACAGGCAAGAGGTGCTTAAGACCTGTTTAAGGAAAACTTGGAAGTTTCAACTTGTTTGTGTGTTATAATCAGATGGGAACATCTACATGCACCTTTGAACGAATCAGATCTCTGTAATCTGTTGTGACATTGCTTTCCAAAACCTTAAAGGCGTCTTCTGTAAAAATTAGATTAACTGACTTGGCTTGAATATTGGGAGTTTAATGAATTTTCTTTGGTGAACTTCAACCAGTCACATATTTTATATATTTATTGTGAACATATGATATAATTATATTATATTAAAAATTGAGTTTTACAGAAATTTAAGCTAGTAGACATTAACTCCCAAATAACATAATATAAATAGAAAAAGTTCATCTCTTTTAACACCTGAAATGAGAAAGCATAAAATTTGAGTCTGTGTTTCAATTTTGTCTCTCTTAGTGTTTTTTTTTAACAATCTACTAAAGGAATTACATATAATAAAATAGTTATTCCTGTACCATTATTAAACCTTTGGTGACATTTACATTTGTTACTACATTGACATAAATTCAGTAGAAAGTGTGATAAATAAATCTGCATGTGTGGTTTCTTTGGTTGGTACAAATGGAGTTTACATGGAGAAGATAAAGAGAGGCACACCCCGTGGTTTATAAACTGGTTCGTGTGCATTTGTATTTTAATGTGTAGGAGGCTGGGATGAGGGAGAAGACGGGGTAAGGAGACAAAGCCTTCTGACTGACTCAGATAAATGAGATACTTTTTTTACATAGGTGATAAGTCCTGCAGATAGACAATATGTGACAGTTACTTTTTCTGCAAGATTTCAATTGTCTGTGGCTCAGGCTGGGGGGTTTTGAGACTTTTTTTGTTGGGCTTTTTGTTTGTTGGTTTGGTTTGGGTTTTGGTTTGTTTGTGGGTTTTTGTTGCTAATGAGTACTAATCCATAAAGCAATTTACAGGCTTATTGCTTCTCTCTTCAGAATCTGATCAGTTGTCCACTAGATTAATTCTGAATTATTCTAATGTGGAAAAACATATATCTGAAGTGCATTCTCATATAAATCTCTGTATTAGGCAATTATACAACGGCTACATAGTGCCTCTAGAGATTTCCTTCTTTGTGCGTTATGGATAATTACTGAGTATAAAAGATATATTCAAGACTACTGGCAGTCTTTGTATAGGATAGGTCCTTAACTGAGAGTATTTAGTGGTCCTTTCTGGTCTCAGAAAATATCCATCCTGGGAGTTGCATCTTTTTGCATAGAGCACTTCTTTCCCCTTCTCTCATGTAGGATGGTGCTGACTGTGCTAATCCTTATGAAAGTACAGACAGCAAGAGAATCCAATAAGGAAAAATGTTCAGCTTCATAGTGTATCAGTGCGTTTATTTTCTTTCTTTCTTTTTTTTTTGTATTAGTTTTTACAGAATTCACAACAGCTCCCTACATTGAAAAGAGCTACATAGGAGCCTTGTGAAAATGCCTGACACACAAAAAATATAAAGAGCTTTTAGAAATACTCCCACTGATGGGGAAGAGGACAGGCATAGGGAGGGGGAAGGTGGTGAAAGTTCTGCATGCAGCTCTAGAGGAGGGGAGGATTAAGAGTTCAGTATGTGGTTTCTTTTGCTCCTTTACCCTGCCTGGTGCCTGCCTCTCCGTTTTCCTTGTGTTGCTGTCTCGTGCTTTGCCCTTCTCGGTTCTCCGGTTTCCTCCGCCCTCCCCCTTTTCAATGTACTCGAGTACTACTGAAAACAAAGTGTAACCAGTGATTCCTTGAATTTTCCCTTCCGTTTCAGCATGTATATCTCTAAGAGGGCATTAAGAAAACACTTTGACCCCCGCGAGTATCCGAATGAGACGTACCTGCTGTGCGAGCTGCAGTGGCGTGGGAGCGTCAAGTTTTGGCAGCACTGGCTCAGAAACGACGATTACAACAATGGCCATGCGGAGCAGTTCTTCCTGGAGGAAATCTTTGAGCCAAGAAGCTACAACATCTGTGACATGACCTGGTACCTGTCCTGGAGCCCCTGTGGGGAGTGCAGCGATGTGATACGGGATTTCCTGGAGGAGCAGCCCAATGTGAACATAGACATCCGCGTGGCACGGCTCTACTACGTCAACTATCCGAGGAACCGCATGGGCCTGAGGCAGCTTGACAGCTTGCAGGGAGTGACCATTAAAGCCATGGAAGCCAAAGGCAAGGTTTCCCATGCTTTCTGGGACTGGGGAACTTTGTGCATTGGGTGATTGGGGTGAATGGGCTTGCTTCTATGGTGCCCTGTGTCTATTCAGCTTCTTTGGGGGCACAACCATCACCATGGAGTGAATGAGAGTCACATCCCAAAAAAAGGTGCTTAAGTAGTGCAGGAGAAGAGGGGCAGGACCCTTAGCAACCAGATCGGTATGAAAATTCTCTTTTGTTTAGAGATACCATCCTTATGTCACTCCTGGGGGAATGGGGGATATGGTCCTTCTCCCTTGTCCTAAATGCAGTTTCTGGGATAAGGCTGGCTGAAGAGTTCCTCTGCAGTTAAGGGAGGGAAAAACATTGCCCAGAGTGAATGGCATTGGTTCCAAATATGGAGTGGACAGCATCCATCAGCTGACCTATCCAGGGCCAAGCTGTCTCTGTGTTATGGACCCAAGGAAGAGCTTAAGAAGTCTTGCTCCCTGAGCTTCTCTGGTATCTGAATAAACTCAGGTTAATTATCTTGCTTCTATTTCTCCAGACTATGATTACTGTTGGGAGACCTTTATACAACCAGGTGTCAACTATGATTTCTCACCCAAGAAGTTTAAATCAGAGATACAGAGGAATCGTTCGAGGCTCGAGGATATCCTTCAGGTCAGTACACTCTGAGAGACAGAGGGGATCACATGGAATGATTTGCAGTCTGGGGCAACTGAGCTGTAAGGAGCAGGAAAGAAGCCCTTGTCCACCTGCAGCTCTACTTGGACTGTAAAGGGTACTGCAGCAGGCTTTTGAGAAAAGTCATGTACTAAAATGATGGGAACTATCCTGTCCCACTGGGAGAGAAGCACTGTGGGTATTTTTCCATCATATTGATGCCATCTTTGTTTTTGCCTTTTTTTCTTTTATATGTTCTCTGTATTCTTCACACATATATTTGGAGCTCTGTAGCCCTTTATTGTATTCTAGCTAGTTTTCTCAGTACTTTTCTGTGCCCTTTCCCTGGGCAGGAAGACAAAACAAATTCCAGAGCTCCAAGCCACAGGGGTGCAAGGCCTCCTATCTTGGTTCTTCCTGGGAACCAAGGTTGAGAGCAAGGTCTTTGAGACTCATTTTCATAAACAAATACAGCTAGTACCAAGGGAGGGCTCCAGAGAAGGAGCTTGACCTGGGGGGGAGTTGCATTACCACTTGTCCTCCTAATTGGGGCTTTTTATCAATTATGCTAATTTCCTAAAACCAATCAAAACAATATAGTTTTGATTCACCTTGTGTGGGGGGGCTTTTGTGGACATTCTCCATAAGTGCCCCTGGAGGCCTCCAAATAAAAATCCACTTATATATTACCTCCTATACTAAAATTATCTCAGGTTTCATTTTTAGGTTGAAAAAGGCAACACTATTATGAAGGAAAAGCTATACAGTTTTTCTCCTTTGGGTTCCAGGGTGGGAAGTTATTTGATTTTTACCTGGAACTCCAGTCTCATCTCAGAAACCCTCCACCAGATTCCTTTTTAACCTGGATCTGAGCATGGGTTTCAGTTTGCTACATGGTACTACTCAGCCCCTTCCTCTCAATGTCTGCAGTGGTCTGACACCCCCCAGTTACTGGGCCCCTGCATACTTCATTAAAGTTCCTTCCAGATTCCATTCAGTAACTTCTGTGACTGGTTGGAAGGGTGCGGTTTCTGTGAGATGAGAAAAACTGTTCAAAACAGAATGGCTGCACCCTGGGAAGATTCAGCCTTTGTTTCTGTTTTGTACCAGACCTCTTGAAAGGCAGGAGAGAGAAAGGTGTGTTCAGCAAGAGTGCTGAAAGTTTGTGGCCCTGGAGATAAAACACTTTGCTTGGATGAACAGGTCCACATGCTTGGCTGGGAAGGACTGTATTTTAAAAAAATCTAGCAAAACTAATATAAGTGCTTCAGCATTTTGATTTCAATGTATTAGAATTTTCTGGCAAATGCTACTTTTAGTGAACGAGAGTGAAAGAAATCTGTGGCTATGTGGGTTGTTGGTTATTTGGGAAATCCATTTTATATGGCATATGTGGAAAAGTAACATCTTGGGCTACTACAACTAATAGCCTGCTTCTGCTATGTCCATTTCAAATCACAGCAGGTTCAAAGTGCAACTGGAGGATCTAAATGTCATACTTCTATTTCCATTTCAGGGTCTTCATTTGTAGAATCAAAGAATCACAGAATATCTCAAGTTGAAAGGGACCCAAAAGATCATCAAGTCCTTCTTGCATGACTACCCAAAAATAAGCAACATGACTTAAATCATCATCCATATTATAAACAGTTATGTAGTAGTTTGGTTTCATTATAATTTGTTTGGTTTTATTATAAAATTATAATTGTTTTTAGATAATTAGTGTAAGTCTCAAATTGCTTTTAAGTGTGGTAAAATTTGTAATTGCTTGTGGGCAATATAAAAGGGGAAATAAGGCTTTTAAAAGATGTAAGTGGGCTTGTGAAAGGTGCATTTTAAGATATGATTATTATTGCAAAATGTATATGCAAGATAGCATCAGTGAAGAGCAGAAGACCATGAAGGAAGAGTACCAAGCTTAAAATGGCATCCGAAGACCACCCTAGACTGCTGACATCTGCAACAATTGAATTGTGCAAACGCTGCAAAAATCTGAAGCAAGATTGTAGTCAACCAGCCCAAAATAAATCTGCATAATCTTCTGAGGAAGCAATACAACTGTAGCAGTACAAAAGACTGCAGACAGAAGAGGTGGGTGTGCCTGGCTGTGGCCATGCACCCAGCATATGCTGTAAGTTTTGCTTTATGCTTATCCCCTATTAGCATTTACTAAAACTCTTAAAAATTTAAGAGGAGTGGGCTTAGTTTCTGACATCACTGAAGAATCTTTTCCTAATGTTCAGGCTGAACATCCACTAATGCAGCGTCATTCCATTTACAGTCCTATCACTAATCAGTGGTTTCAGGATTACATAAATTTCAGGATTACCCAGTCCCAAGTGGAGAATGCAGCAGTTGCTCTTGTAACATTTCATACAGTTGGTGACTGCTCAGCTCTTCAGTATCCACATCTCTCTGGAGGGCCTCTTCACCCTCAAGGGAATCCACAGATCCTCCTAGTGTAGTATCATTGGCAAGATTACTCAATTTTGGTTCCTACATTTGATTCCCCCATTCAGATGATTTATAAGGATGTTGAAGATCACTGGCCGTAAAAATGAGCCTGATGTAAACCCATTGGCTGTAACTTTTTGAGCCATCACCCAGATGATTTTTTAGCTGCTCACGCAGAGCCCTATGGACTTATCTCGCTGTGTGCTGGACATTTTATCCTGAAGGCGAAGTCCTGGGGCCCTTGAGCCTCACTAACAAAGTGCTATTAGCAATACAATACATGTATCCTTTTTTTTGGTGAAACATGTATTCCCCTTTCTGTATTTAGAATCTGGACAAGGCCAGGTCTGTTTTGCACTACCTCTATTTTTTCTGTCTTTCCTTCTTCCTTTCTCCCTCTGCTTAAAAGTTTAACTCACTGCTGCCACAGGCTGCCCAAAGATCACTGTTGCCACATGTTGTTCAGAAAGGTTAAATCTGCAGGTTGTTCAGAAAGGTTTAAATTGTTGCTGCTAAGACTGTTGAACCGATCATACAGTTTTAATTGCTGCAGCCTATAAATAAAACTTTCTAATTGATTGCTTGGTGTTGTTTTGCCTTAATTTAGCCCAAGGCCATTCCAAATGTTGGCTACCTCAGAGGAGGTGGTCCAGACATCCCTCTCAGGACCTGATAATTGTGTATCAGAATAACCTTCTCCATAACTCTACCAGGCACTGAAGTGAGACTGACAGGGTGTAATCACCAGGGTCTTCCTTCTTACCATTCTTGAAACACTGGAACAACACTGTCATCTTCCACTTGACCTGGAACCTTTCCAGACTCCCAAGACCATTAAAAAACGATGCAAGGTGCTGCAAAGATATTGGTCAGCTCCTTCAGTGCCTTGGGATGGATCCTGTCAGGCCCCACAGATTTGTGTGCATCCATCTGGGGCAGCCGCTCTTGAGCCAGTTCAAAGTTGTCTCTTTGCATCCCCTCAGCTGTGGTCTTCCAGCACTGGGCTCCCGGTGTCCCAGAGCCCATCATTTGGCAAGAGATGGGCAGGATGCCAAAATGAGCATCTCTGCAGACTTGCTGTCTTCTCAGATAGTCTTGTTTCCTACCTCAAGATTCAAGAGGAACAGAAGTGAACTTAAGACCACAGAAAATGTGCCATCAGGGCAGAAAGCACAGTGCAGACACTGTGACAGAGGGGTTGTTTCTCACAGAGAGCAGGCAATCCTGTACACCAGCTGTGGTTTGTCTTTATCTGCCCCACCACCTCAATATCCACAATGACTGCATTTGGGAACCCTGCATCTCACCTTGAGTGTCTGTATGTGGACCTAGTTTCAGCCTGTGCTGCCATCTGCATCCACAGTTTGCTGGAGCAGAAAATTCCAGAAGCTTGTAGTTAGCCATGTAAATAAGCACTTGTCTCTGTTTTGAACTGATCAACTAATCACAGTGTCAGTTCTTGCTGTAATAATGTCTCATCATTAGTCTGCATTAGAAAGACTGTGCTAACCTAGAGGATTTCCCACTGTTTCAATGAGAGCTCTGACATGTAACCAACAGCACCACTTGATTTTAAAATGCAGCTTCAAAAATGCACAGATGCTCGGTTCAACAGAAGCAAATCCCCCATCCACCAAGAGGAGTGACTGTGGAATGCTAATTACAGTACCCATGATCATTGCACTTCAGCATCTCCACTTAGATAGCTAAAAGAAGTAAGTAATTATTTTTATTTACAAGCTCATCCTGGAACTGGGCCACTGGAGGTATCCACTGGAAACTCCTTGTGCTTTTAAGATGTTTTTAAAGAGGCAGAGAAAACTGATCACAAAAGTTGCTATGGGGAGTGGGGGGTGGGAAAGAGACACATGATGTGAAACTGCTGAACAAAATTTATAAAGTGGACCAAGTGTTTCCCTTTCAGTCTCCAATCTAACTAGTTGTTGGCACAGGCTGCCAAACAAAGGATATCACAGTATAACCTTCCCAGCAGCTTTGGGGGTGGTTGTTGATGCCCTGTCTGTGCCAAGACTCATTTTCTTTAGTCCTTGTTTACACTGTCCTGTTGGCCTTGTCTTGCCACGCTCAGCCCGTTTACATCACAAACAGTTTTTGTCCAAAGCAAGCTTGTGATATTCCAAGGTCACAAGAAAAGAACCCCAAATTGTTTTCACAATAAAAAAAGAACAAAACAATTCTTATGGTCTGTGCCTCTTGGGGCCCTGAGGACTTAAAAAAAAATAAAATTGGTTATCTTAACCGCCCTTACTTGTGGCTTCCACTGACACACTGCCCACAGATGGCCCAGGAACTGATATGTTTAGTATGGACTGCAATGAAGAAAATTAACTCCATCCTTGATGGTGCCCAATGGTTGTAATGCCTGGTCCTGGTAGATATTTTGATAGCGGTTTTGTCTCTCATGACAGCTACATTTTCCAGGTGAATTTTGGAGAGAGTTTAACCACGTATTGTTGTCATTGAGCAATCCCCGAGTGCTTGGAAAAGACAACCTCAGTGCTGCAAGTTCCTAGAGCTGCTCTGAACACTCTCCCTGGTACAACCTATAGAAAATCATTGCTGTCTCTCAAGTGAAGCCCACCTGGTTATGTGGTCCCCCTCATATTTAAAACTCTGGTGGTTGTGTGATGACTGACTCAGGCTCCCAAGCAGGGCATGGACGATAATCCCCACAGGGTTTGGGGTACTTATTGTTCTGCTTCGTGCTTTGACAGAGTGTGTGCATTGAAACAAAGACATGGAAATGAAGCAAAATCAGAAAGAAGAATATATAGAACTTCTGTGACTCAAAGTAGTGTGAGAAGACTGTAGAAGGACTGCTTAGAGTGGAAAAACTTTCCAAAATACAGATATGTTCACTTGCAGCTTTTTCTTTCCACACTGACTCCTCATGAAGTATCTTTAATGAGCTGGGAAATTCTTTGATTTCTACAACCTCACTGGTTAATGTGAAAGAATTATATTACAAGGATATCAGGGTGTTTTGTTACCGAAGTAAGCGTGCAGATAAGCCCTTCCCACTGTTATAAATAAGAAGCTTGACTAGGCCAATATTCAAGACACACACTATTTGTATGTACCTGACACGAAACACAGCTTTGTATCTCACACCACCGAGGTCTGCCTGCACATCCTTGTGGCTGCCATTCCACTTCAGTGTTGAGAGTCAGCCTCATAAAGCTCAGTCACCCAGCAGTGGCAGCGTGCCACCAGTTATCTTAATCTCTTATGTTTCGGTTTCCACATATGGAGGCTGAGCAAGAGTCTCAGTTAAGTATGGTGACGCTGTGCAGACTGCAGAGAAAACGAAAGCAAAGGTACTGAGAGTCATGGGTGCGGGCGTTTATCAGAATTGCAAAGTAATCTGCTACCGAGGAGGTGTATTTGTGTATCTACAAGCTTGTTTTCATATGCATTATTGCATTATAGTGCACACACATATCTGTAAATATCCATGAGTGTGAATTCATACTTATAGGTTCATACATAAACACATCTTAGCCTTTTTTAAATGTGGAGGTCACAGAATAAATCCCAAAAGGCTCTGTGTGGTTTTTCTTTCCATAAAAAAATATAGATACCTACTAAGAAAACTCCATTAAATCCAGGTAAACACACAGCGGATTTTCCTTTTACTGTCAAACGTGTCAGCAGCAGAACACTTGAACTAACACAGGATTTACCATTTAAATTAAGTCCAGGAGGCAGCCTGTTAGTGGAGGCTGAGACTTAAGCCTCTGTGTCATAAGCCCCAGGCTTTTGTCGCATTTAAATTTAACCTTTCTCTTTGCTTCCAGACCTCCACTCGGCGATTCTCACCTCTTTCCAATAGATCATCCAGCTAGAGAATAAAAAGCTCAGTACCTGTAAAATCCTCAGAGATTTGCAAATTAGGATTTTAGCTGATTCAAACCTTGTCCCTTTTTGTCTTGCTTGATGTCTGATTTAACTTTCCTTCTGTGCTCCTCTTTCTCCTCTAACCTGTCCATCTTCCCTAATTTCTTCCATATATTTCCATTTCTAGGGCTATGTCCCATCCCAAATTTGTTACCAGATGTACGCCTTGGGTTTCGAGTGTCAGATAAGCCAAAAGATACTCGAGAAAAGGGAGTGGTACATCAGCAGACAGCACTCTGTAATAGTCATGCTGCAGACCTGTTTTGCTGCAATCTCTTTCCTGGGAGACATCTGAAGGGACCAAGCTACCTGATGCTCCCTCCACCTTTCTGTCACTCAGTGAGCATCCTGGAGGCCCTTTGTAAAATGTTCTGAAGAAACTGTGACGCTTTTAGATTATTTTCCCTGGTGAACCTGGTCATATGTATGCAGCATGTCTCTACTACCACCAAAGGGAATATTCTTATGAAGGTCTAAGGAACCTGGTGTTTAAAGAAGGCATAAGTAAGTGTCTGTCCACCATTCTATGTACTCTTTGCTGTGTATGTTCCTCCAAAACGCATTCAGGTTCATGAGGCATGCATATGAGGGTGGTGGTTATTGGAAAAAAAAAAAAAAATCCTTTTCCTGGAGTGGTTGAGATACATTCAGATGTTACTGATAGCTCAGCATCACGAACCACCTCCACATTTATCTCTTACATTACCTTAAACAGTTTCTGTGAGGGGACATAATTGACTGCATGAGTAGTAGAATAAAAATTTTTACCCCAGTTGAGTAATACGAGACTCCACCTATATAGATAACCCTTGCTACAGACACGTAGCAATTTAAAGGAATACTGGCTTACTGCTGGTTGCTCATAAAAACCAAGGAACAGGTTTCCTACCTAGCTGTATGATCCTTCTGGAGGTCACCATCCTCCTCTTGACTCACTGAAGCATGGTCCCCATAAACAGAATGTGCAAGTTCTTCTAGAAGTATGAAAATTCACTTGTGTGGCAACATTGTCTTCCTGGTTTTATTAGGGTTAAAGCAACTACTGAATTTGGAAGGGATTAGTCTTCTCACATTAGGCTAACAGAGCAATATTTCCACTTTTCTCTTTTTTTTTTTTTTTTATTTTATTTTATTTTTTTCCTTTTGGCTTTCCGGAGACACTTGAAATTGTTGCATTGCTGATTCCTTGCTTGGACGTTTTTCCTTCTCCACTTTCTGTGGCACATTGCTGCTTTTCTGTCAGGAACTACTGCTGCTAATCAAGGCAGTCCTTGCAGATCAGACTCATCATCTCTAAGCCTAATTCACCCCTGCTAATTTGTAAACATGTACTGTAAGGACCGGGCAGTGAAGGGAGTACCAAAGCATTCCTCTCTCCCTAAGAATCATGCCCGCGAGCTCAAAACCTAATTAGCCAATCCCGGATTTGTTTCAACAACCTCTTGAGTGTTTGAGCTCCCCTTCACTCTTCTACGGTCGGAAATAATGCAACCTGCAGGGAACAATTCTGTGCTGAGAAGGGAGGAGTGACCTCGAGGGCAGACTCTGTGTTGGCTCTGCCTGATGACCTGCCACAACCA